TGCATATTTTTTCTTTGCATGAATCCGATATTTTGCCATTTTTGTAAACGTGATTTTTTTATTTTTCTTTTAATAAAAGATTATATTAAAATTCTTTGAAAGCAGATTTTTAATTCAATTGCTTTTTTTGCCCCCTTATCAATCATTTCTTCCCCTCTACCCACCAACGTCGGGGTACATTTGAATTTTCCACTTTTCCAACTGTTTTTCGTATAATTTTAACCCTCCCACCAGTTCAATATCATCGCACGCCCTCTGCGATCTCTCTACATGTGTGTACTGCACAGGTTGAGTGGTTATGGAGCCCTCAACGCCCTCCCGTCCGCCCAAGGACATCGAAACGGCCTACACCAGGCCACTGGAGCCGGAGTCACCGGCCAATTTTGTCGCTGGAAAGGCTGGCAAGAGGCAGAGGAAGACTGTCACAATGCCTCCCCCAGTCCTCAAAGGAGCCAGCGACAGCATCCCCACGGCCACCTCTCGGCTGCAGAAGCAGTTTGAGGAGGCTCAGCAGCAACAGAACCTGCAGCAGAAGGCTCTCATCAGATTGGCGAAGACTCTGGACAGCTGGGTTGAGGAGGAGAAGCAGCCAGTCAGTCAGAACTTTGCCCGAATCTTCTGTGAGAAGTTTGTCAAGTATGTGACAGCAGATCTGAGTGCAGCATCAATTCTGAGAGGGGGTGCTGCCCCGGATACTCATCCGCAGCCAAATGCAGCAAAGACAGCTGCGAGGGAGCCGACTACCTGGGCGGGTGTTGCTCAGAGGGGGAAAATCTCTGCCCTCCCTGGGGTTGCCCCTGCCAAGACTGCGGCTTCCTCGGCAGGCAGGGCTAGTGGAGCTAGCCTGCAGCCCAAAAGCGCCAGTCAGCCAGGGGGCCCCACAGGGGGCACAAAACAGCAGGAGGACCCACGAGTCCTCGTCACCCTCCAGCCAGAGAAACGGGTCGCCCGGCTACAGCCATATGCTGTGCGGCAGGCAATCGCTGCAAACATTCAGGGGGTGGGGGATGTGGCCAATGTGCCGAAGGTGGAGCCCACCAGGACAGGTTGGGCGATCACACCAAGCAACAGAGGCATACGCGATGCTCTGACCACTGAGAAGGCAGTGGCTACTCTCTGTGAAGTCCTTGGCGCCACGGAGATCCGGCTACCAGAGCGGTGGTACAATTATGCTGTCCCAGGGGTCCCAGAATTTGTCCAGGACTGGGAAGGGGCAAGAATCCCCACAGACAAGATGATTGAGGGAGAGGTTCTGGCTCAGGCAAAGGTAAAGCCAGTGAGCTGTCGACCCTCGCGTCATGGGGTGAACCCCAAGACAGGGAAGATTACATGGATTGTCTCCTTCCTTGCCCCGGTAAAGGGCTTCTCACTCTTCAATGCCAGTGAGAGGGCCAGGCTGATTGAGAAAAGGCCTTTGGCAGTGAGACATAACCCAGGATGCCAGGGGTTCTGCCACCCACCAAAGTGTGCGCGACTGGCAAGATGCTCCAACTGCAGTGAGCCCACAAGCCAGCATGAGGGGCCAACAGGCGCGGAGTGCAAGAGAGCGCCAAGATGTGCCAACTGCTGCCAACCCTACCCAGCTGGGCATCAGCACTGCCCTGCCGCACCCAGGCGTGTGAATGGCACCCTCAGGCGCCTAACTCAAAAAGAGCTAGCAGCTGTTCGCCGCCTTGGCGACAGGTGCCACAGGGATGCTCAGGAGCGGCAACCGCCGCCAGCACAGCCAGCACCAATGGTCGCAGTGGTGGTGCCTACACCAACTGCTCAGTCAACCCAGTCAACACAGCCCGCTGGGCTAGCACCCCGCAAGCGGGCGGCGACTCAGAGTTCCATCAGTGAGGGGGGTGCCACCTGGCAGATGGCCCGCACCAGGCGACGCTCAGCTCGCACAGCAGTGCGGCAGCACAGTCAAGCAGCTAAAGAACAGTCTGACTCCAGCATGCAGACGGCAGGTCTGGAGGCCTTCAACCTCATCCCGCAGGTGGACTTCGGCAGCAGCTCACCAAGTGACTCCTCATGCTAGGACACCAACACCAGCGACGCGGCTGGCGCCGCAAGAACAACCAGCAGGAAAATCGCCCCCTGCAGGTCTTCTGGGCAAATACAGCCAGGGCAGCCCCCTGTCACACAGCAGCTTTGCTTCTTGCTTTCGAGCAGGGCTGTGAAGTGATCTGTATACAGGAGCCATACACACACCCTGGCACTAAGACTTCTAACCACCCAGCGTATGAGTGCTTTGCGCCTATAGACCGCTGGGAGGACACTAACCCGGAGCAGCGAGAGGAGGAGAGGCCCCGGGTCATGACATATGTACGCAAGGGCTCAAAGACAAGGGCACAGCAACAACGGTCTGTGCAAAACCAGGGGATCTGCTATGGGTCAGTGTAAAATGGCTGCCCACATTCTCAATGTGTACAGACAGCCTGAGACAGATGCAGTCATGGGACTATCTGACCAATCTGAGCCCACCAGCCCGCTGTCTGATAGGTGGGGATATCAACGTACGGCATGATGCCTTTGAACCAGGGGCAGTGAATCTGCACCGGGGCGGGGAGCTTGTCCAATGGGCCAGTGAACATGGGATGGACTTTGTGGGAGAGATAGGGGTTCCGACTCATGCAGCAGGTCATGTGATTGATCTCACCTTCTCCAATGTAGCCTTTGCTTCCACTACAGTGCGTCAAGATCTACACTGCGGCTCAGATCACCAGTTTATGATCACTATGCTGCCAACAACACCTCAAACACAGCTGAGTGATGCTCGCATCAAGATCACAGACTCTCAGCTGGAGCCCTTTGCAGATCTTGTCAGAGGTCTCATGGTGGACATGCCTTGCTCAGAGGGGGTTGGAAATGTGGCACAGCTTGATGATCTGACCCAACACTTCACTCAGAGTCTTCTGGCTGCAGCTCAGGCAGTCAGTAAGCCAGCTCAACAAGAGCGGACCACAACCTCCTGGTGGACAGCAGACTGCCGAAGAGCGCACTGAGAGCTCACCACTCACCAGACAGAGGCCGCGAAACACCAGTTCAAGGACACAGTGCGCAAGGCCAAGCGTGCATAATTTGAGCTGCCCGTTGAATAGATTCAAGCCGTAGAGAGCGAATGGGACCAGGAAACTCATTGACACAAATGCCGAA